CGCACCCGTCCCGCGTGGGCCTCGGCGCGGTGCCGCGACGGGGGGGGGAGGGCGCTCGAGCTGAGCGGTGCCTCGGGAGCAGAGAGCTGACGTGACTGAAGACTGGTGATAGCGTTAAACCTTTCTGTTACTGCCTTCCAGGTAGGGTTTCTACCAAAGCAATCACAAACAGGAGGTCTTAGCAAAGAGGAACGCGGTAAAGGGCGGTGCTTGTGCAAAGGCTGGTGCCCTGACTAAAGCTATTCTGGCTGTCAGGAAAATGGGCTAAAACAACAACAAAAAAAAACCAAACAAGGAGAGGTTAGTGATGGACAAGCAGAAGCTGCCAGAGAGCACAAAGAAATTCCTCAGGTGATGTATTTTGAATTCAACATATTTCTGAGCAGTAGGAATACAGGATTTTTACTGTCTGATAAGCGTAAAATACACTTTCAGTACTGTCTAATGAAGGGCATTACCATATCAGAGACTAATGGAGTAATGTCAAATCTGAGCTATCTTGGGCCTAGGCAAGGAAAAGTCTTATAGAGAGAAATACCATTTGCAATATTTGGCACATAGAAATACAGCAGTTTAGCAACATGCAAGCAATAATATACAGCCACCTGGGGCACTAAATTCATTTTTAAATGTCAACTTTAGCTTGGTGCCCTAAAGTTTGCATATTCCATTTGTTTTACTGTTCTAGGGCAGTTGCCTATGACCTGAGTTGCTATGAAATGTTAAAATTTTGGCTACTGAGTTTATATCTGAAGTACAGTGAATTAAAAGTGGTTAAGATGTTAAACAGAAAAGGAAAAACATTAGCTTTAAAAGTTCAAAGGCACTGCAAAACTGGTGTGCTAGTTTGCCGTTATTCCATTATTAGAGTACTGCCAGATTTTCATGATACGGAGAACAAACACTGCGTTTATAAGTTTTTGTTTGTTCTTTCCTTACTCACTGCAGCATGACATTTAGCTAAGGCTGAAAGTTCACCTTTCTAATTTGACACCTTTGTGAAAAATATGGCAACTTTTGATAAGGCTTTTATTCTGAGCGCAAAGAATTTGTTTGTTCTGGTCCTGTTAGGCCTCTCAGATACCCGTCATTAAAAACTATCTGCTTCTCCTTTGTATATCTCTTCTGGATTTGTACTCCTATTTCTTCTATAATTATAGTTCACATCTAACAACTTTAGTATTTTCTAACAAAATGCAGGTCAGCGTTGATATCTTTTTCTGATTTCAGGCATTCATGTTCAAATACTGAAGTTGCTCTTTTTTACAGCAAACAAAAGTTTTGCACTTTTTACAGCAAACAGGCTTTCCGTTCTCTTGCTGCTTTGTGATGCTTTGTAACCATACTGCTGAGACGAGCCGTGATGTGATTTATCAAATATAAATCCAGATTTCTTAGTATTAATGGCCCTAGAAAAATCCTAACATTCTGTCTGTATGTGATTTAGTTTTCCTATATAATTTTATAGTGAATCAGAACAAAAACTTGTTTTTCTTTCTGAGAAAAACAGTTATGACCATGAATACTTAATGAGTGCAGAGGCATATGTACTAGTAGTGGTACACAGCATACACCTCAGCGTATCAGCTATGTGACCGGGCACAGAACTGGAAGTTGCTACTGGCACTAGTTGTGACCATTCTTACTGAATATAATCATGATACCCATTAACGTGGCTAGTGCTAGTTGGTAATAGCTGGCAAAAGAAGGTCGTGAGACCCTGCGCTCTAGTCTTGTTGAATGTTTGTAGTAGTATTGCGAAAACTGGCTGTGATGTAATTACTGAGAATATATTCAGACTCACAATTATTTTACTATCACGAGGATAAGTAGAGTCTTTTATTAAATATGCGGTTAAGTCACTGGGTAAAATTGCAGAAAACAAAAATTCAATAAAGTCGATCTTGAACTAAGACACCTTTCCAGAAAGTTTTAATTGAAGGGCTTTGAGTTTAATTCTGATTTGCACCATTTTTTGGAAAACTTGCTGTTCACACATTCTTTTTTTTTTTTTCTTTTTTTTCCAGTCATTTGGATTCAAGTCTGTGAACGATATGCTCAAGTTATTCAAGAGAGCTTCTTACCCTGCTTTGTGGTCAGCACGACTGTCTAAAGGATACTTACTGTTGATTGTCCTGCCAGAGACAATGTGCCCAACTGCACATTTTAGTTCCTGCTAAAATACCTTTATGTGGTATGTTCCAGATGGTCAACCCACCAGAGGAAATAGCTTTGTTTAACAAAGGTGGAGAGGCTTTGCCGTTGTGTAATGTCAGATACGGAGAAAGAAATATTTGAGTGTTACCTACATGAAAATAGGAGGAAAAGAGGAAGGAAGAAAGTTGAGTAAGAAGGTGTAAAGAGTAGATAGTTTAAATAATTCAACGAGAGTCAAGGGCATAGTTTGAGAAACAATTCGTTTGTCCCATGTGTGTCTGAAAACGCTTGTAAAGTGGCCTAGGGCCTCAGGCTAGTGTCAACAGCTGGAGTATTCCCAGATCTGTCTCAGTAGCTCATTAAATGAGAAAGGGAATTGTTCTGCAGCCTAAGATGAGGTTATTCCAAACCTATAAGGCTTGCAATGATCTTTGTATTCATTTTACTCATTTTGAAATGTCATCGGTACATGTTGGGACAGAAGAGCACACCTCTGAAAATTCTAATTCTCTCAATCTTCAGGTGGAAAGTAACCATGACCTTCCAGTAGGATATTTGGACTAACCTAGTTGCTGAGCTCCTCACCAGCTGGAGGAGGGGAAGGGTTTTACCGCAACTGCCTTACCCAGTTTTCTGGGATATTGCCAACATTGTTTCTTACCTTCTTGGAGACATATGTTGGGGTTCTTGCCACTGCTCTCAGCCTGAGTGGAAGGAATGATCTTAAACCTTGTTAACGTTTACATCTATGTAAATGTATGTAACATTTACCGGCCAGATATGGAGCCGGTACATTCCTGCAACCAAGTGTCCTCAGCAGTGTGATTATTGTGAGTTGTGGTGGACTCTAATACTATCTAATACTAGCCCTTAGGACTCTCTCAGAAGGGAAACGTGTGACCCAGATTTTAGTGTCATTAGAACGCAGGTCCTGTTCAGTGTCTGGAATGACCACGAGGCAAATGATGTCACCAGTTTTTTCGCTCTTGGGGAGCAGAGCTAGTCATGACATTTGTGAGCAGAGCACCACTACACCTCTTTGTGAGTCATTCCTTTGGCACCAGGTGAGACCCTTTCATCCACAGCTATTTTCCCTAACAGTGTCCTAACTTTGTAGTGGATGGGAGCAATCTACAGGCAATGTGACAGTAGTTTGCTAAAGGATATAGCACTTTTCAGCAAAGTCTGTCAAGTGTAGTAGGAACGTGCCTTTCTCTCAGCAAGGAGGTGATACTGCTATAAAAAGAGGGATTATGCAGAATCTATGTCCTTTGCCTGCCATGTGGAACTGCCAAACCACCTGTGTACTGTAGGAAGTGAGGTTGGCTTTGTCTTCTCTAAAACTATCTCAAGCAAATCCTGCAGAAAAGTGATCTTCACTCATCCATCGTCCCATCTCCGTTAATGTTTATTATTGAGACTGCCTCATTGGCCTCTCTGCCTTCAGTGTATCACCAGAAAAGTCTGGAAAAGACCCATTCAGTTCAACTTTAAACCCTGAGTCTCATACAAATGTGTGCCTTGCATTCTATTTGCTCTCCCTCATGTTACACCCACATACAATATTGGGACCAGTTATTACCCAGAGTTACAAAGAACAGTGGTAGACCAGCCTTGGTTCTGTCTTAGACCTGTGCGGTGGGCCACAGGCATAGGCTGGAGATTCTTACTTTGATCATCTTTATGGCACAGCTGCTTTTGTGATGAGAGGGAGATCCTGTCACACCTGCATGTTGAGTGCATCTTGTTGCAGCTCCTCTTCCAATGCCATCAGAACTTCATGCTGAAGTTTGGTCTGTGTTGTCCTCTACACCTGTGTCCTGACCACTACAGTCAACCGCTCTGTCAGGCAGTGCATGTCTTTTGACAGAGATCACGTGCCCTCATACCAGGCTCCTCTCTCTCCCCAAGCTTTGTTTCTGGCTCACAAGAGATGTATGAATTAACTCAGACAATCCTGTTCACCATTTTGGAACAAATTCTTAAAGATTGGGTAGGGGCGGGGCCTTTTAATAGGCCTCTTTTTTTTTCTGGAAAAGGGTCTCCCTTCACTGTTGGAGTTCTCAGCAGTTGCAAGCGCTGAAGCCCATCTCGGGGCTCTTCCGGGCACTTTTGTAACTTTGCTCCACATTCAAAGAGGTTGTGCCCTGTTATAAGCTTAGTAGTAGCTTAGTAGCAATTCATTTCGTGCAGGGCCTCATAAAAAAGGCAGGTGTGGAGCACAGTTCCCAAAAACCAGTGTAGACTCACTCATTTATAGTGACCGATTAACCTTTTTTTTTTGTTGTTTTAAATTTGAATCTCCACTGTTGCCCTCTCCTATAATAACCTTTTTGTGCCACACATTTTTTGGCAGCAAAATCATCTCATGTTTCATGCTTTCTCACATTTTGTGTGATTCCTTTTTTTCCTGTTAGGGCATACAAGGTAGCAGATTTATGTGAACCTGGTCTAATGATACATAGTCTCTTTCTGGAGTGGTAACAGTAAATTTAAAAACAAGCAACCTATATAAGGTGTTCAAAACCATCCTTACAAATAGGTGGGGTGGTCTCGTCGCTGGATTCACTGGCGCTATAATTTCCATTTGCTTCATTTTGTTAGACCACTACAAAACTCAGGAATTCTCTGGTTTTAGAAAAGTCCAGAAATTAACTAACATATATAATTTTGTGACGGTTGCAATTTTTGCCAGTTCTCTACTTTTTCCAGAAAACTGACACGTTCATTAAATAGCAGAGGCCTCCCCATAGAACTGTTAATCCCTGCTCTGCCCAGGGGTGACTCCCCCTACCCTAGGCACAGAATGCTGTTTATAAAGACAAAGCCAACATATTTACAAGGAAATTCCAGTATTTTGAGATAAAGATGGGATTTGTGCTGTCAGACTGAGACTTGAATTTCTTTACAGATTCAGAGAGTGGAGTATACCACTCGTGGGAATTATAAAGAAGACAAGCTATCCACAGCATAGCAAATGGAAGGGCATGCTTCCCTGCAACTGCATGCTACTAGTTCTGTAAAAATGCATGAACAGATATAATCCAAACATGGTCTCTGTGCTATTTTGTGATCCGAAACATTACTGGAAAGCTCTGCAAACATTTGTCATTTAAACAGATCTTTGTACATAGTGACTGGATTCCCTTGGCAGGATTTATGTTACATCTGGAGGTCCCTGGGGGGCTCCACCTGGGAATGAAACAGCAGTAGACCAGCTGGCCAGGGGTCTAGGCTCAGGTCAGGGAAACTGACTGATGGGTGCCCCAACCATCCGATATATGAAGGAGTCACACAGTCCGGGAGAGGTTATGGTTGTTCAGAGCCTGTCTTGCTTTGTGGCCCTGCTTTGTTGTTCAGTCTTCTGTCTCCAACCAGCTTGCTTAGTGCTGAGCCCATCCCGTTCCCCCGCTATCCCTCTGTCCTTGACTTTACTTTGTTGTATGGATTCCCTTTCCCTTTAAAAGGTGTGTCTGCTGGTATATCCGGTGCCTGGGTGCGACTTACCTGTTTCCTTGCTCTAGCCCTCCATTAGCTCTTTGGCTGCTTTATTTCTAGCTTGGTCCGAAGCACAGTGCAAAGTTCTCCTAATAGTGCTGAAGTGAAAATGTGGACCTGAGAGTTGTGCTGATTTTGCAGCGTTTAGAGGTTCTGGAAGATCCATGTTTTAACATAATTTCTAAATGGCATTAAAGTCTTGGCTTTGCTAGAGGATAGAGTTGAGTGCTGTGAGTTCTGTCTTTAGGTGTGGTGTTCCTTGAGAGGTGTTCTCTCCACCTTGATTTAATATGCCTGGTGATACGTTGTCACTGATAGTCACAAGTAGAAGAAAAAAGGTAAAGGTGCTACTGAAAAGTAGTCCCCTGCACTTGGTTGAGATGATACCATGAGTGTGTCAAGGGGCAGGGAAATTTGCCTGCACTTGCTTTGGGGGTGATGTTTCAGAACGTGCTTGGGTGATACTGGAGAAACTGAACTTACTGTTGTGCTGTTGCAGCAAACTAACAGCCTGTGTTCTGGATTCTGTGCAAATATTTAACATGTTGAGCCAGCTCTCTAAGGAAAATAGCCAACTGTTGAAATCTCACATGCCTAAAAGCTCATGTTCCAGTAAGTTTTCCTGTTTGCACATCCTGGTTCAGAGTTGGAACCTCTTCTTGCAAAATACTGTGGAAGGTAAACAACTGTGCTTAGGAAGGCTTGATGACTACTTCCTGTTGGCAAAAGCTAGCTGTTCTTTGGAAGAGTGCCAGCTTTCAAAAGTAAATAGCTCTTATTTTGTAGCTGCTCCCCAGGCTTTGGAATTCCCTTATAAGTTCAGACCTCGAGAATATCAGCATCTTTTTGTTTTGTAATTTTAAAATGATTCCTTTATATTCTTCTGTTTGGATACCTTCACATATTTCTGCATTTTTTACACAGAAGCCTGCATTCAGCTGTTGTAAAAGACCCAACAGGAAAAGAGGTTGGGGAAAGTTATCAGGAAATGGCAAGTAAGGAAGAGTTCTATCTCAACACAATTTCAGAACGACCCAAAATGTGAAGGCTATTGCCAGAATCATCTGTCTCCTCCCTCATGCATTTTTGCTTTGCTCAGTGCTCTGCAGGCACAGGATGAGTCTTTCACAGAGGGACAAATCTGCTATGCCTTTGTTCTGATACCTTCATTTTATTTGCTCTATTAGCTGCACTTGGTCTTAATGATATTTCTTATGTAAATGGTAAGGGACAGGTGAAGCCCTTTGTGTGCTAATTAAATAAATTGTATGCTATTCCTGGTATGTTGAAAGTGGAGTGCTTTAAGAGCATTAATTAAAAATCCCTGTCAGAGCTTGTAACTCAGAGGAGTCTTTAATATAGTAGATAAGGTAAGATGAAATAGAATAAATAGTTGCTTAACTCACCTTTGTGTGAATGAATCAGTTTTTAATGTAGTAATTTCTTCATTTTAGTCACTCACATTTTAATAAAGTGTTTTGCTTTTGGCAGTCAGAAATGGTGAAATCTATTTGTTAGCTTTAACCACAGGAGTTCTTAATAGTGCAGGATCTGTCCATTGCAATTAGTAGCAGCAGCTGATACATTATAGATTTCGATTATGTGCTTCAAATTTATTTTGTATTGTTTACATGTTCACTTTAAATTCTGGATTGCTTGAGGCAGGGCCACATGAACAGCAACTTGTACCATAGGGGACTCCAGAAGTACTAATATCAATATTGACTTAAATACAGAAGTGTTTATAGTTTTAAGCCAGCAAATGCTTGTGGACTTGTCAGGACTACCCGTGGTGTTCAGTGGCTTTTTGTCAAGACTGTGAGTAGCTTTGCTTTTGCAAATAATCAGATGAATTAAAACTTTGAGTCTTGAGGGAAATGCTTATACTTATGCAAAGCTCAGTTGAAACCTACAGGCTTTACACGACAGTCCACTGACACAGATCTAGCTGCAGTATCAGGACCGATCTTGCCCAAGTGTGCAGTACTTGGAAGACTGGGCTCTGCTTGAATAGACAGGAATAGCTTAGGAAAAATTCCATGTAATTTAATTTTGCTTATACCTTTTTTTATGACAATTGCAGTGGTGAGAACCAACTGTTTCATTGGGAATTACCGGTGTCAGAATGAGAGCTTACAGAGAGTTGACTCAGATGCAACTAAATTGTCCTTGCTCTTTTTTTTTTTTTCCTTAAAGCATGTTAAATTTCGCATAACTGTACCTTTTGCCCTAGTGCTCATCAATGAACATTTAGATTGTACTTAAATGTAATTTCTATAAATATGCAATGTACATTGTTTACATTGGATGCTTCTTCAATATTACCAGAGAACACTGGTAAGCACTGGCATAATGAACGCTGATTCAATTAATGTTGATCTAGGCCCCGGTGGATTTTGAGTGAGGTTGTAGCTGGAAGTGAGTAGAGGTGATACAGAGCAGTCTCAGGTGAGTAAGAGCACGCTGAAAGACATCTATATGGATGCATTGGAGGGTACTATTTGCAGAATGAATGGATGTTGTTTCCAAAAATAATTTTAGAAAATTTGGCTCCAAATGCTTATGCTGTTTGTTCCTGTCTGTCCTTGTAGAAATTTTAGATTATCAAACAATGTATAGCGACAATTTCTTAAGTTTATTTCTTAATATTCTTTTTCTTTCTTTGGCAACATGATCTGCTGTACCTCTGTGCTTCGTGGGGGCCCTGAAGGAATGCATCATGCTTGTCTGTACTGTGTTGCAACTCTCAGGTAAACTTTTGCTTTATATTGGGTGATAGGTTGCCAAAAGAAAAGGATCTCATTATTTACATAAGGTTATTTTTAGAGTAATTTAACACATATTAGCTTTGCAGGCCTAATTCCTTATTATCTTTTCTCTTTTGTAGACAGTTGCATAAGTACAGAGATAATGAAGTGCTCCCAAATCAGAATGTTACCCCTTCACACAGATTTAAATGACTACACGTTGTTCCAGACATGGGAAACCTTAACTTTTCAAACATTAACAGAAAAATTGTTCAAAAATTATTTTTAGAGTTAAAGTTGTCACGGCTAGTCTGTTGGTTAGTTTGGATTGTTTCAATGCTATTTAACTTGGGTGAACTGTGTTTCCAGTTTTTAACTTTAAATAGTAAGATGCAAAGCCACAGCTGGATGTTACTTTTTCATAACACAAATCTCCACTGATTTTTTTTGTTTGGCCTTTCAGTAAGCTCACTAGTTACAATAGTTTGTCACTTTAGTTTATAATTTAGAATAATTGATGATAACAATGAAAACATGTTTTTTGTAAATATAAAAACATTCTATCCGTTACAGTTGCTGTTCTGTTCATAACTGCAATAGTAAAATTCAAGTGCATGGAAATGAAAGGCTATGGGAGACATCTTTAACTGAAACTAGTATTTCTGGAGATTTTTTTTTTTCCTGTGTGGCATGTTCTGCCAGTGGGCAAAGGAATATGTATGGCTTTTTGAGACTATGAGGTCACCTACTGGCTGCTTTGCCTCAGTGCATGCGAGATCTCACTTCCTGGAAATGCAACACCAGAGATGACCCAAAAAGTGCTAGAGATATATCTCCATCTACCAAACAATGAAACTGTTGATGCTGCTTCAGGAGTGGAAACTCATCAAGCACTCAAATATGTCTGAGTAAAACTTTCAGTCAGTCCTAAGCCTTTGTTTATGCTGTTCAGTCATGCCTCCAGAGATGCAGAATAACAATTTTACTTGATGATAAAAAGGGCAGGAATGTACATGGCCTTGAATTTACTGGTAAAAGGACATCTCCAGTTTGTATAGCATTTTAGGAGGTACAGCAATTTCATTTGCTTGTGAAATAAGCTGTAGTCCTGGCCTCTGCGGAGTGTGATGTTGAAGTGTATAGGGAATATGAACAGTAGAGAGTCTGAGTTATCAGTTACTGAAACCATCTGGAAACGTAGATGTAGAGGGGGTGAATGAGACAAACAGCTCTCCTTGTCCTTCACACAGCTGCTCAGTCTGCTATGAAGCTTTCTTGAATACATTGTTTGCTGTGAAAAGAAGGATCTCAAGTTTGTTTTAAGAATTGCTTTAATGAAAAACATTTACAACATTTATAAACCTTTGTAAAGAGTACTTAGAATACAGTGGCTAATTTTTAAACAGAAGTTACAAACAAATCTCCTGGTACTATCCAGACTTCCTTATTTTGGTGCTTTTAAAATATAATGATTTAGCATAATTCTTACATTTTCATCCAGATGTATTGGCATCTTTCTTGACGGGTTAGTGATATTTTTCTCAGTTTCTCTTGGGTCTCACCTGGACTTTTGTGAGAAGGGCAGTGTCTTAGGCATCGGCAGACAAATGAATTACTCTGGTTAAGTTGGGCTATGATTTTGTATCATAGTAGCTATTGGAGGCAATTGTCTATATGCACATTTCCATCCTCTAGTTAGTGTGAGCTAATCTCATACCCAGAGCTATTTCATGGTAACTTGCTCAGATGCCCCCATTCTCAAGCCTTTCTCCGAATGCTTTGGAGCAATAATTTAGGAATTTGCACACCTGTCTACAGTCATCATGCACAGCTTGATTTTTTTTCCACTAAGTGTTTGTCAGAATTAGTATCTGAAATCTAATGCAGAAGTGAGATAATGTTGTTCTTTACCGGGGAGGAGGAGGACGACCATTCTTTAAGCTAAAGGACTCTGTTATGCATTAAATGGATAACTGATAGGTGCAAGCTGGCATTTACAAGATTCTAACCACTTTCTTCACAGTAGTGAAGACAATCCATTTTAAGGGAGAATTTGATCAATTTAGGAATAGGATTGAATGTGGTGTCTGTAATAACGTAAGTCTGGGCTTATTGACCCAGGTTCTTTCTAGGCCTAAGCCTCCTTCTCATGGACTTTCTCCCCAGGACTCAAACACTGCATTGTAGCATTTGGGTTATTTGAACAGAGAGCAGTGCACCTCAGTTAAAGGAAGCCCCCGTATTCTGTGGTAAGTGCAAAGAGCAATGGGCAAGATCCACGCACCTTCCTTTGTCAAGAATGGGCCAGGGTATGCAGCACTGCAATTAGCTGGATAGTATTCCTACCAGCCATCCACAGACCTGTGAGATTGCTACTGTTTGGGCTTTGTAAGCCTCAGAGCAACTCAGGATTATGTGGTTTAAAACCAGTTTTTTATGGGTTGCAAAGCATTATTAACTGCAGCATAAAATATTTAATGCTTTAGCCTCTCTGGCCACCTTCTGGCCACCTTCTGGCCACTGTGATCACGAAGTGTTAGTATGTAAATTAAAAGTTTTCATGTTATTCTCCTACTCTGTTCTGTATGAGGTTGCAGAACTTTTTCAGTGCTTATATTCTTCTGCTTCACAGGTATATGTCAATCACATTTATGGAAAATAGATCATAGGCAAATCATGTGTTTTAATGAGCCTTTTAGTGAGGTTGATTAAAAGTAGCTGTATCAACATAAGGAATTTAGACTTCTATACAGTGCTTGCTTCTCTAATTTCTTGTCTAGAATAAGTCACGAATCTCCTAAAATGCTTTGGTGGCTTACCTCTATTTAACAAGGAAGTGCATCAAATAGAAGAATAAAAGGTTAATAGAAATGATGTGGTGAAAGTCTAATTGTTTCAAAGTTAGTGGGGCAAGGCTTTTGCTTGCAGAATAAGGCCAGAAAGAACTTCCTCTGGCCATCTAATCCGAGTTTTTTTGTAATGCAGGCACATACAGCTTCATAAAAAAGATTCTTTCATAAAGTCTAAATCTCAGGGCTTGAGCTAAAATATATATAAGAAAATCTGGTCTCCCTTTTTTATTAATACCTCAAGTGAGAAATAACCCGCCACACTTGCTAGGTAAGCTGCAATAGTAACCAGTTGCCTTGTTTGCCTTGTTTAAAATGGACTTTATTTTCAGCTTCAGTTTGTTATGCATTAGTTTTCAACCACTGCATCTCAAATTCCTTTGACTGCTCTTCCTGCATGAAATTTTCTGTCTGGACAGATGACCGTTTCAGGCCTGAAAAGCAAGTGTGTTCACTGTTGCATCTTTAGCTGCCCCAGCACATTGCGAAAAGGTACCTGAATGGAGTTTGTTCATATCAGCTCTCTTCCCGTCCCTTCCCTTCCCTTTGCATTCCTTCGCATTCCTTCAACATCCCCATCCCGCAAAAAAGCACATGCTGTGGCTAATCTGCTGCTGCTGCGCACACACAGCTTGTCTGGCTGCTGCCACACAGAATGTGTAACAGCTGAACTCCACCAACCTACCCCCACTCCTACAGTCAGGCACTTGTTTAAGTTTCTCCACTGATAGTTTTCATATAATTTGTGGAATTTTGTTCTTTAAGACTTCTGCTTCTCTTTCAGATTTAGTTCAATTTAGTCAACTGCTCACAAGATATTTGTGTTTGCATGGACAGTGCAAACACATAGAGCTTATTTTCTTTGGAAGTTAGGCTGAATATATCTGAAAATGTAAATGTTCTGAAACACTTAAGAAGTTTGAGTTGCATTTATTTATATACAGCATGTATATTTATATCTTGGTAGTAAAACTTATTTCAAATTTTACAAGAAATTCATATATTAATTTTAGAAAACAATGAAAATTAGTATGACTTACAAATTTAGCACATTCATAGTTCTTCATGTACCATGTACCATGATAATTTAGTAAACAAATGGTTTCTAGAGATTAGAAGAATTAAATATGCCATTCTGATTCTATGCAACGTAAGAGTCTTAATTAAAGAAGCATTTGCTCAGGTAGAGGCTTAAATTTACCTTAGAATACATTGTCTACAGCAAAACAACATTATTTTCTTCAGGCAACTTTCAAACTAGAGTTCCCTTTGTTAATATATCTTATTTGTATATTAGGATTTAGTTATTTATCTATCTGCATAAAATTTTATACCAGACAGCTCTATGTCTGCACCGTGTAAAAATTCTTGCCACTTGTTTCCTGGGTATATCACTAATGTTATCAGAGTACTAATTTATAGCAATACAAGAGGTGTTTGCACACCTTTAACTTTTTTGTACCGAACACATACACACACGCGCGCGCACATTTATTTACTTCCTGTCCTGGAGGTAACCCCTTAAAATGCAAGCATAGGTACAAAAGCTTGATGTTAATTACATGGAATACCATTAGAATGGATTCCTGTATACATGTAAAATCAACAACAAACTGTTCTTTGTGCAAGAGAATTGAAAAAACTGTTTCTTAGACATTTTCCCACTTCCATAGCCCCAGCTTCCCACACGTCCATTTTGGATACTGCTGCAGTACCCACCCACTTCAGAGCCTCTGATTTTCACAACATTTGCAAGGATTTGGAGGATCTTAAGACCTCCATTCTGCCTTTAAGCTTGGTTAAAATTAGGTAATAGGTTCAGAAGAAGAACAGGGCTGACAGACAGGTAACATATACTTAATTTCATTATGAAATGAGACTAAAAGAGGCTCTAGAAGAGATTCTCCAGTGGAACCGGTATTTGTGGTTGACTGCACAGATGAGACGCAAAGCAGCCTTACAGACACCTTCAGCCAAATGAATTTCCAATTACAGAGAGGGCAAGAGCAGGGAAACTGGGTTCCCGCCTCATTTAACGGTGAGAATGGCAGATGATCACATTGTGAGGTGGATACTCATTTTATTTTCTTCTTGCCTGGCGTGCAGAGCCATACTTCCTGCACAATATTCCAGTTCTGCTGTCAGTATAAAATTATTAATTTTGTCATGGAATTTTTCTGTAACATTCATCACGGTAATATGTGGGTACTTCACTAACATGGTTTTCTCTTGAGCAGTGTGTCGGGGGAGGAGGGTTCTATAATATCCATTTCTTAGCAAGGGAAATGAGACATAGGAAGTTTAGTGTCAAAAAGTACCAACTAAAGTTGACTGCTGTCTTATGAGATGCCTAGGACATACTTTCTCAGACCATCTGGCATTATATATCACTTCATTATGTTCAAATAACAGTTCTTACTGACCTCAGTTGCAGCTATAAATGCTTGGGACTTCTGTATTTCAGACCCTGGGTCTCAAGTTTGGTATGCAGGGGGAAAAACAAGGAAACATTTCTGGAGTATTATGGCATAACTGAATTGGGAACTGTATGCTGCCAGCTGGAAAGCAAGCCAGCTAGTAATATTTGATTGCTTTAATGATAAGACAGTCCATTCTCATCCTGAAATCCTCTGCTTGGATTTCTGCCCAAGTAGAGGGAATTTAGTGACCTAAGACCTAGTGCTTCATGTCACTCCGCAGTAGGGACTGTGAGGCTAGTGCAAAGGCAGTTTTGCTGAGCCTTCACTCCATGATGGCAGATACGGATAGTTTTGCAGGGTGGATCATATCTTCAGCAATTTTTGTTTTAGAATTAGGATGCTGTCCACTTGGAATATAGAGCCCCATTCCCGTATTTTTCATTAGTTAGTTTCCAGATTTACCTGGACTGCCATTTCTGCATTCTTACCTCTCAACCTAACTGGGAGAACCCCTGCTTCCAGACAGGCGTAAGAGGACCCCTTCCTAGAAAATATCCCTGAAGTACAAGTGATCCTACTTCATTAACAACTGAGGCAGAGGTCTTATCTATGTAACGTTTTTTCTGCAATACTTCATTGATTTTTACCTACAGTGGGATTCTCCCATGAAGCAAGGTCCTGTGAGAAAAATGTACCTAGGTAAGAGAAGACTTTCATGGCATAGGTGCACAGGGGACAAAATAACTGTTGGATTGTCTAATGTGGATACTCCCTTTTTTCTTGACATTTAAATTTGCAATCTGTTAATATTTCAAGCTATGATGTTTATGTAATTTTTTAAAGGGAAAATAGAAAAAAAGAGAAACAATCTGTAGTGTTTACTGATGCCTAATGAGAGATATTTAAGCATGATGCAATGAAACTTACACATTTGCCTAACATTAGAGCCCCTAGATTGCTGTAGTAAATTGACCTTCTTTGTTGACCAGCAGGGGAGGACATGGAGCGTTTCTCAGCTAAGAGTCAGGAATCCTGAGTTCTTCCAGGCTTTTGTAGGCCTAAAACTGTGCATTCCATATGCACTGAGCTCTTTTCCTGGTCTCTTAGGACTTAGATTTCCAAATCCCATCTCCACTTCTAAAGCTGCTCTTCCCAATACTATTTTAGCTTTCTGATTCAATTTAAAAATAATCCTGCCCCCAGCACACACTGGCTGCTTTTAGCCTGGGTCTGTTCCCTGATCCAGTTTACCACACAGCTCCACAAAAAAGTTATTTTGGCATGATTAAGGAGGCATCATGGAAATGAAATAAGTGGTGGGGGGAAGAGCTGCTTAAAGCACTTCTGCCAAAACAGGCAAACTTCTGCCAGATATGGCAAGTCATACTCAGTACAAAACTCATCAGTTAGCCCACCCAGTGCTGTGGCTGTTGTCTGGCTCCAGGCAGTGCCTGGTATAGAGAGCCCTGGAGACGGACGAATACCATGATGCTTGGCAGTTCCTCCTAGCTGTGCAAAGGGGGCCTACTGCAAGACATATTATATAAGGGGCACCATTCATTCCCTTTTGTGTGACAACAGGTACACATCCCAATATCCTCTGACACCAAAACTCCAGCTGTCCTTACTCCTCATCACCTGCTTAGATATTCATTGAGTTTAGGATGGTTGGGAAGTCTCGACCTACAAGAATTCAACAGCTCAAGCTGTTTGCCTTTACTAATAGAGCATTGAAAGAACTTGATTACAGTGGTGTAAGGTCATTTGAAAAAGAAAAATATTGGATAAAAAAAGACATCCTGAGTCTAGCAAGTGGGACGTAAAAACCTTCTAATGACTGGAAGTTAAAGCCCATTCAAATAAAGAAAAGAGGCACATGGAATTTAGCAATGTTTGTCATAAAGGGTCTGATGAATGTGAGGAACTGGTTACAAAATGTTCTTAATGGTTTCCAAAAAGTGACAGAGGGTGGATTGAAGAAAAGCTGCTCTCAAACACTTTAATTAGAAACAATACTACAACTAAAAACGACAGCTCCTTCACTATCTTTCACATGCAAATGAGTAAGCACTCTATGCACTAGCAGTTAATTTCTGTAATGCTCTCTCTCGGGTGGGAGGCTTTCTGAGTTGGAACAGTTATGTCTTCAGTGCTGTCAGGTCTACAGTAGTTTATGGTTCATTCTACACTACGATCGATTAAGTTTTCCTGTCCTCCACTTCTGAAACAGGAAACAGCTGTTTTGTGAGTATTGGTGAAGGAGGTGGTTGTACTTCAGCAGCTCTTGGCTTCCTGCTCTTCTCTTGCTCTTCCTTTTCTGGAAAAGGCAAAAAGTGGCCAGGCTGGCAGGAGGGACCCCAGGAACAAACCTACCTTTTGACACAGGGAAGGTGGGATAAAGGAAGCAAGATCAATGCGTTTATGATAGTGCTGGAGCACAGAACAATCTTTTGAGATTTTGTCCTTAGGATATAAAATCCTACTCAAGACTTTTTGAAAGGACTTTTTGAAACAGGTGAGGAGGGAGAAGAAATGTGAGACACCCATGGGGAAGCAAGAAGGAATGATGGGAGGTACTGAGTAAGAGTTGGACCTCATTCAGCTTTACTTCTCCGTTTTTAGGGACCTCTGTTGATCAGAGAGAAGAACAACGGAAGAACGTACGGCTTACAGAACAAGCACTTGCTACTGCCTCATCTGGCCTTCTGAAGGGATAAGACGACAGAACGTTAAAAAGGCTCAGTAGCGTTTGCTTAAGGCACTGAAGTTAGTGAGGAAGGATGGAGAATTAGCTGAACATGAAGAGACTTTCTCCTCATGCACAGGTAACAGTGACCGTCCCATCATCTATGCATAGATCTGTCTCCTTGCTACAGATTGTGAAACAATGTAGTTGATTCTGCAGGTAGAAAATCTCCTGAGGTCTAACGTTTTCCTATGTTGATTATGAAGTAGCAAAACCCATGTTGTCCAAACACTCATCATTTACCTCACAGATGAAGGAAAATTAAGTAGAGGTAGTTTGCAGTAGGGGATTAATATGCTTCTATCTAGTACAGTGCATGTTATGAACGTCTGAAATTCTACTGCAATGTACTATATCAATCTAAAAGTTGCATGTGTTATCCTCATCTAATTTTGCATAGTGGGCATTCTTTGCTGTTAGCAGGCTAAAGCACCTCAGTGATGCCCTCTCCAGCTCTCTTTCTATGCAATAGTTCTTGAGGCCTTTGCTTCACTGTACTAAAGTCTTAGGTTTGTGGGGTATTTTGTGGCTTGTGATAGAAGCCCAGAGAACACGTTCCTGAAATCCCTTCTTGACCCTGTGTCTTCACCGATTTCTTAAACTAATCTTGCTCCCTGTGTCACGCTAAGGATCCCGCTGTCTTGCCTTCCAGTAGTAACAAGGATATTT